TGCATGCAATTCTGCACTGTCGTTTCCTGTCAAGAGTATATCATCCACATAGATAGCCACTATAGAAATGGAAGAATTTGACTTTTTAAAGAATAAGGAATAGTCATTTAATGAGTGAGTGAATCCCTTAAAGTTCAAAGCAGCTATAATTTTAGCATACCACTGTCGAGATGCTTGTCGTAGCCCATAAAGCGATTTCTTTAACTTGCATGCATGAGTAGGTGAAGGAGGTACAATCCCAGGTGGGAATTTTATGTACACTTCTTCGTTTAGGTCTCCATGTAGGAAATCATTATTCACATCTAGTTGGTATAGACCCCATCCTTTCTTTACTGCAGTGGCCAATATGCATCTGATTGTGGTCATTTTTACCACGGATGAAAACGTTTAATTGAAGTCTATGCCCTCTTTCTGTATGTCTCCTCTAATGACTAATCTCGCCTTTAGTCTTTCCGCACTGCCATCTGAATGTTGTTTAACCTTATAAACCCATTTGCATGGTAAAGGTGAAACCGTTTCATTGAAGTCTATGCCCTCTTTCTGTATGTCTCCTCTAATGACTAATCTCGCCTTTAGTCTTTCCGCACTGCCATCTGAATGTTGTTTAACCTTATAAACCCATTTGCATGGTAAAGCTTTCTTCCCAGGTGGTAATTCAATCATTTCCCAAGTCTTATTAAGTTCAAGAGCCTCAATCTCTTTATCCATTGCTTCTTGCCACCCTGGGTGATGTGCTGCCTGTAAATAGTTGAGAGGTTCTTGTATATTAGACAGTGTGTTTAGCATGTGTTGATTAGTAGAAGATAGTCCACTGAAATATATACAAGTAGGTATAACAGGTGTGAGAAAGCAAGAGTTGCTAACATCTGTGAGTTGGAGTGCATTACAGATATAATCTTTGAGATAAGATCGAGTTGTGTGTGGTCTGGTAGACTTTCTAATAAAAATATCCATCATAGGATCAGAATTTAGAGGAGGAAAAGCAGGTACAAATGTATGTAATTGACTAGGTGATACTGGAGAATCTGGAGAGAACTTAGAAGAAGAGCTAGAGGAAATAGGTGTGCTAGGATGAATTGAAGAAATGGGAGAATAACAGAAATCAATTGATGATTCAGTAGGCTCTTTGGAAACTTCAGTGTGAGGTCTGGTAGCAAAGGGTGAAAGTTCTGGAGTCTGGTTACTTACACTAACTTTAGCAGTGGGTAAAGAAACATCAAAAAAAGAATTAGACTTAATAGAAGCAAATGGAAAGAATTCTTCATGAAATACAACATCTCTAGAAATGAAGGGCTTTAAATTCTTGAGCTTCAACACTTTGTAACCAATCTTTCCATGAGGATAACCTAAGAACACACAAGGAGTAGCCCTTGGTTCAAACTTAGTTCTATGATTTGAGAGAGTGGAAGCAAAACACAAACACCCAAAGCATCTAAGGTTAGAGTAATTTGGCTTGCTTTTAAAGAGAACTTCATAAGGAGTTTTAAATTTTAAAACACTTGAAGAAACCTGTTGATCAAATAGTTTGCGGTTAGAAGGTAGTCACCCCAGTATGATATAGGTAGGTGTGATTGGTATAACAAGGCTCTGGATGTCTCTAATAAATGCTTGTGCTTTCTCTCCACAACTCCATTTTGTTGTGGTGTGGACACACAAGTGGTTTGATGAATAATACCTTGTGACTGAAAAAATTCTAATTGAATATTCTCACTTCCCAATTCAAAGGCATTATCTAACCTCATAATTTTGACTTTGCTGTTAAACTGCCTTTCTACCATGGCTAGAAAGCCTTTTAGAATAGTGAATGCATTGGATTTGTTGGTTAGTAGATAAGTCTATGTTCCTCTACTGAAATCATTAACAATTGTAAGAAAATACTTAAAACCATCATATGTATCACTATTGTATGGTCCCCAGGTATCCATGTGAATTAATTCAAACACTTTCTTGGTAGAAATAGAACTAGAGGGAAAAGGAAGTTTCGATTGCCTTGCCATAGGACAAATAACATATGGAGTGAAAAATTTAGAACAATTGGATATAGAAACTGATGAAATATTTTTTATATTGCTAAGGGGCATATGGCCTAATCTGTAGTGCCACAACTTTTTCTTTACACTTGAATAAGAAAAACTAAAACATGACTGTAAACCATGATTGGAAACACAATTCCTTCTTGGAATTAAAACTCTTCTAAACTTAGGTAAACTCTTAGACACTATTATTGTATGTATGGATCTGAGAATGTAGAGGCCCCCTTCCTCTTTACCAATCTTCAGTGGGCTCTTCATTGAAGGGCCCTACAGAAGGAAACATGAAGAGGGAGTGAATAAAACATATTGCTTGAGTTGTCTGCACAACTTGTCCACAGATAACAGATTATATTTAAAAGATGGAATGTAAAGAACATTTCGCAGAATCAGATTAGGCAAAAGAGAAACAGTTCCTGAATGAGTGACTTTAACTCTGTAAGAGTTTGGGATTTTAATCATGAGAGGTTCATGCAAGCCTTTTAAATCTGTGAAAGATTGTTTGTTGAAAAACATATGTTCTGTTGCTCCACTATCCAATATCCAAGAATCATCATTGATTTGAATTAAACATGCAAAAGAGTCAAAGAGATTGGTTATACCAGCACAACTCACATTTGCTGCAACATCAGAGGTTCCTGGATTATTTTGTCCCATTTTCACTTGCTGAAGGAGCTGCAACAGTTCAGCCACATTCTCCTTGGTAAGGTTCTGACCTCATGTTGCATTTTCTGCTCCCTGTTCACTTTCCTCATTTGAAAAGAAAGCGTTGTTTGCCTGGGCACCTCCCTGAAACCTTTTCTGCTTTGTGAACTTGAAATCTGCTGGAAACCCATGAATCCTATAGCACTTGTCTATGCTATGTCCAGGCTTCTTGCAATAAGAACAAATTCCTGCATTTTTCTTAGATTCAAAACTTATTTTCTGCATCTTGTTCTCATTAAATTTCCTGAAGTTTCCCGGTTGGTTTGCAGCAATGAATTATGCAGATTTCCCTGAGTATGCAGGGGTAGCATGTATCTCCCTTTGTTTCTCATCTTGAATCACAAGAGAGTATGCATGTCCAATGGAAGGTAAAGGTGATGACAACAAAATATTGCTCCTTACCCTAATAAATATGTCATTCAGTCCCATTAGGAACTGCAGTAGTCTCTCATCTTGGTGTGCTTTCAAGCTTTTGATTTTTGCTCCACACTCACACTCACAAACACAAGCAAAAAATATGTTGAGTGCACCTAGTTCATCCCATAGGCTCTTCATTTTGGTGAAGTAAGTTACCACACTTGAATTTCCTTGCACTACTGAACTTAGCTCCTTTTGTAGTTGGAACAACTTTGCTCCATTTGCTTGACCAAATCCATCTTCCAGGTCACTCCATAAATTCTTTGCACTCTGTGAATAGAGAACACTCTCAGCTATCTTTTTGGACAAGGAGTTGAGCAGCCATGAAAGTACCATGTCATTACATCTAGCTCAAGCTTGTTGGATTCTAGAATCAGCCTTAGGGACAACCAGGGTACCATCGATAAATCCCAACTTGTTCTTTGCAGACAAGGCAATAATGACTACCCTTCTCCAACCTCCATATCTGTTTTCATCAAAAGCTGAGGACACAAGGTTCATCCCTGGATAGTCAGAAGGGTAAAGGCAGTAAGGATGAGTAGAGTTAATCACTCATGAAGCAATGGTAACTGCAAGTGCAGGAGCATTGGTAGTGGTAGTAGCAGAAGCTAAAGTATCAGCCGATTGTGGTGAAGAATCCATAGCAGACAAGCTTAAGAGAAGAAGAAAAATGAAGAAGGAAAGCTGATTTATGAATGAGAAAGCAGAAAATGATAGCAGAATCAAACCTGCTCTGAAACCATGATAAAATGAGAGAATGATTTGAAGATTTCCTTCTTTTGTATATTCAACAGAAACGTGTATTTTTTTTTCACTGTACATACCTAGGATTATATACAAAAGGGACAAAATTGTACATAAAATAAAATACAAGGAAGGAAAAAATAATTAATTAAAAATACATTGTGTAATGTGCTAGCACTATGAGAATATTATGGAACAATGTAGTAATGAGAATAAACAATTAAAGTACATGGTGTAATGTGGGAAAATATTCTTGAACAATGTAGTAATTATACTTCATAATTAGAAAATCCTAGATATTTTTTCGTAAAGCTTCATCGTCTCCAACAAGACCGCTTGTAGTGCAAATCAAATACAGCAAGATCGACGAAGAATTTTACAGCATAGCCCCACCGTATCAATTCTTTATCTCATTAAGCAGTAATTAGAATAGTGACTCGTAATTAAATGACAAGTTTTCCTTGTATTACGAGTTATCACCATGTGCTAAGCCTGATATAGGAAAAAATTTAAAAAATAAAAAGAAAGGTCAAAAAGTGACTAGCTAGGTGGAAGGAGTTTAGAGGGGGAAGTGGTCGAGTTGTATCCACCTAAACCATTATAAAGTTGTTAGTACTGGTGATATAGTCCACCACCAGAAATTAACAATGACTTTGGTCCCCTTAGCTATTTGTTAAAAGAGCACAAGGACACTATTATTATACGATCAGGTTTTGATGGACAAAGTTATTCAATATTTATATTGATAGAAAATAATAAATGCATAGCAAAACAGTTGAGGTGAATACAAACTAGCCAGACACCAATATTAAAGAAGAAGAAGAAAAAAAAAAGAAAATATTGTCATCATGCGGGGTTGTCAATTGTTATCATTTTCTTTTGCCCTGGGGGGTTGTAGATGTGAAAATATAGCTACATTATTTTCACTTGTCTTTTAATTTAAGAATAAAATAGTTCCTGTACCATTTTCCTTTCCCTGGGGACCTTATTTTATTTAAAGATTAGCTATCATCACCTTTTGCCATTATCTTGCAAGAAGACAACAGCAGAAGCATGGCAAACCACTGTCTGATGCAGCCATTTATGTTGTGAGTAACTAATCCTTCTTAGCTTAGTTCTCAAGCAAAGCTTTGCTTGTGTAGCACCACATCATTATTTCCTCAATAATTACTCCTATAAAAAGAAAACTTTTCTCAGTAAAATTTCCATATATTTCATAACAGTAGGCCAATTATTGAATAGAACCATTCACTAGGTTTCAATTTTCTTGCTATTATATATTTTTGTCTGTCTAGATTAGTCAAGGTTGAAAGTTGAGCCATAGTTTCTCCTTTGAATGCAGCAAATTCTTTAAAATTCTCTTTCTTGAATATTGATCCTAGACCATGATTTCTCAAATCACATTTTTTCTAGTTATTTTTTTTCAAAGCTATCTAAGCCTAGCATATGATCCTGATCCAGTTCATGACTACTGCATACCAAGGGCTGAATTCTCTTCAATCTTCCTTTCTTGTAAGAATTCATCGTTGGTCACAGTCGAAGATTTTATCTATTCAGGTATTAAAGATCCCGGGAACTTTAAACATACTGGATTTTCATCCATTCCAGTGAGTTCCACTGTCTTTCCTGGACTGAACACATTAGGCATGTCATTTGTGCGCGCTGATTTTGACGTTGATGGCATCAACGTGCCACATTTTCATCCGCGGGCAACTGAGACTGCATTCGTGCTCGAGGGGAAGGTTTATTCGGGGTTTGTTGATTCAGGAAACAGAGTTTTTGCTAAGGTTCTTGAGAAAGGAGAAGTAATGGTGTTTCCAAAAGGTTTAGTTCACTTCCAAATGAATGTTGGTGATACCCCAGCTACTATTTTGGGAAGTTTTAACAGCCAAAATCCAGGATTGGTGAAAATCCCATCTGCTATTTTTGGAACAGGAATTAAAGAGGAGCTTTTGATAAAGGCTTTTGGATTGAATGATAAGGAGATTGCTAAATTAAGGAAGAAGTTTGTTCCTCAATAGCTGGGATAGATTATAGGAAAAATTGTAGTTTCTGTTATTTGTTTCTTTCTTCTTTATTCAATAATGCAACTAAATTACATTAGTTCCAAAAACAACTGCTGCAGACTTTTAAGGGTTGCAACTTGCAACATAAGAATACTGAGAATTAGTAAAACTTTTAGATTTCTTTAAGTTCTGAGGGCGAATTAAGAAGCTAATGTTCATGTTTTGTATCTAGGCTAAAAAATGTCTACTAATTGGTTAGTTTAGAAAAATTGTTTTAGAAGATCCCAGAAAAGAGTGAGAAATTTAGGCATTTCATTCTTTTTGAACGCACTTAGAGATCCTATGTTGTTCGGACTCTCCAAAGATATCGATAGGATGGGTGCGTGCCGGATCCTCCAAAGGTGGTGCATTTTTTGAGGATCCGACACGTGTGCAGCAACTGTTTGGAGAGTCCACGCAACATAGGCTAAATCAGGGTACATGTCGGATCCTCCAAAGGTGGTGCATTTTTGGAGGATCCGACACATGTGCGGCATCTGGTTTCGAGAGTCCACGCAACATAGGCTAAATCAGGGTACAAACAATAGCTTTTGTTGAAGGGCTTTCAATTGCTAAGTAATAGGTAGAATTCTCCAGCAATACATGAATTATTGTAATAGGTTTGTTGCATTTTGTTGTCTTCTAGTCAGAGATATAGTTCTTCTTTTGGTCATAACATTGTCGACATCAGAATGTGAAAAAAGTAAGAGAAGGACCATATCTCAAAGGCAAAAGCTAAAGTGCTGTCATATTGATAAACACCATCATTTGATCAATGTTCAAGCTGTTAAAGTTTACCCCAGAAATGAAGAGATACAAAAAATAATTGGGGAAAGATCACTTTTAGTCCGCGGCAAAAATTATTTACATCCGGTAACTGTAAAAGTGTATAAAATTTTCCCAAATATTTTTATAGTACGAATCAAGAAGGCAAATCACTCTCGTTTCATTAATTTGCACTTATGAAACTGCTTAAGACTTCAAGAACTAACACAGTCACGCGCATTCAGAAGCATCAGTTGTTTACATCAAACACTAGGCACTGAAGTAAGTGCTAGAAACATCATGCTAAAATAAAAAGGAACGAGAACTCAACGTTGAAAACAAGCCATCTCAATGATGACCTCCTAAGCTATATCGACACATCTTAGTACTAATTAGAGCATGGCGTTCAGCATTTCGTTCCAGGTATCAGGTACTCCGGGAAGACACCAATGGCTACAATCAGATTTATAGTCTCCTAAGTGTTGCTTACCTGTTTGGCTTACGAACTTACTATAGACAGAAGGATGCCCGTCTCTACGAAGAGCTGTCATTGTCGTTATATCCTGGAAAGATACTGGAAAACTCATCCTTCTTAGCACTTCTTTTAGCACAAGTAGGGGTTCCGGAACATGAGGGTGACTAAAGAATTCCAGAGGCTCCCTCTGATTAAAGCATTTCCATCCATTTTCCCTAACAAATCATAATGCAACAACAACAAATAAGCCTCATTGTCAAGCAAATAGGGGTCGGCTATATGAATCCTGACTGACCATAAAAGGCCAGCCCGGTGCACTAAGCTCCCGCTATGCGCAGGGTCCAGGGAAGGACCGGACCACAAGGGTCTATTGTAGGCAGCCTTACCCTGCATTTCTGCAAGAGGCTGTTTCCACGGCTCAAACACGTGACCTCCTAGTCACATGGAGGCAACTTTACAGTTATGCCAAGGTTCCCCTTCGAATCCTCACTGACCATGTCTTGCTCAATTTAAGTTCATTTCAGACCAAATATTATTTGAATGACAATAACAAATATGAAAGTGAACATTTTCTTCACACATTCTATGAACTAATATAGGATATATAGGGAACTGCATATTTTGTAGAAATGTGATAATCAAGATGAGTACCTGTTATGTCGAGGTGACATGCTTCTGAAGAAAACTCGAGTTTTTCGAGGATCAAGATTCAAATCTACCCATTTAGCCCATGTCATTAGTCCTTTCTCATAGGCAACCATTGGATTCATGTTTCTATAGAAACTGTTTCCTTCCATTATTAAGTCCCACCTGAGTTTCAATAAATGGTTCAATAAAACTATGTCAATGACCTCATAGCAGTGCATTAGTTTTTCTGGTATATTCAAGAATCATATGCGACAAGAAAGGGTAAAAAAAGAGCGTGAAATTTATCTTACGAACTATATTTATCGGAATGAGTCCACCAATGAGCTGAATCAAAAACAAGAACATCAGCTCCTCTCCAATACTTTGCATTCTCTTCAATCATGTCCAAATGCAATATTCTCTTGTTTTCTGGTCCTTTCTTCAATTCAACCAGAAAAGGAGCCCAGCAGAATTCTATTGTTGTCTCAAAATCCTTTGAAAAACCAATCAACCATCAGTTAACTAGTTTGGAACTTTTAGTACTATGTTTTATATCAGTTTTAGTTATAGTAATAAGGAAAGAGTTTAACTTCTATACACTGATGATTGACGGACATATAACAAAAAGTAACTTCCTGTAATAAGAGAAACAAGATTCTAACACTTTCTCACCATAGCATGGAAAGCCATAGTAGGGCCAACATAGGTTACTGTTTTTCTAGCCATAGGGATAACAGATTGAACTAAACAAACAAGAGACTCCCATTGATTCCTCACTATTGAATCACCCACAAGCATTATTCTCTTCTTCCTCATCCTTCCAAGAAATTCCAATGCATTAAACCTGCATTTCACACCAAGAATATTAGATCATCGTATGAATATTTCCAACAATTCAACCAACAAAAGACAATGGTCAAAAACACCAAAATATCTTAATTTTACGCTCTACGTTGGGGTATTCATACCCTTATTCTTTGCAAATTGTCTCATATTTGACCTTGATTTTAACAAAGTTTCAGCATAGGGTGAATTTTAGAAAATGTCCAAATTTAGCGATCTACTATTGACTATAGTTTATGATTACCTTCTGTTATACTTTTGGATTGAGCTCCGTTAGAATCAAGAGCAAATACTAGACGATTTGCTAAAGGCATTTGAGTGGCCAACATATAATGGTTAGTAAAATTTAGATATTTTGTATAGTACATGAACATTTTTTACCCTTATCACAACAACAGCAACAAAAAAACATAATGTAATCTCACAAGTGGGGTTGGGAATATAGTGTGTACGCACACCTTAGCCCTAGCTTAAGAGGCAGAAAGTCTGTTTCCGATAAACCTCAAGAAAAGAATTCTTTTTTTTTACCCCAAAATAAAGACTAAAGAATAAGACATTACAACTTTAATTACCTAGGAATTTCACAACCATGAGGTTTCCACTTCCACTTTTCATAGTCAGAATCAGGACGGCCATTCTTGGTACAAGTTACAGCAGTACTAAGATAAGGACAGCTAGAGTCATAAAGAGGATAAGATTGATCATAAACCCATTTTCCAGAAGTTAAATCACATCTTCTCATAGCAGAATGCTGGCTATGAAACATAGAAATTTCATCATCTCTGTCATCTAACCATTTTAGTTCCTCTAACTCATACTGTGAAAAAATCCCAGAAATGAAGCTCAAAACAAGAAAGAAAAGCAAAAATGACTTATTCTTTGCCATTAATTGCAGCAAAATGAGAAAGCATGCAACTCAAATATGGAATTTTGGAGTGATGTTAATTACTACTAGTAAAGAGGGGTTGTGTTATCTATATGGAGTTTAGCTTTCTTGAAAGTTGACAAAATGTGTTGTATTTTCGCCATGACTGGCGGGGAGAATGGGCCATATGCCATGTGGTAATCAACTTTTTTTACTCATTACCATTGTTTCTAGTAAGTAGGAGAGTAGTTAAGATGTCAAAATTCAAATCATCAATGTTTCTGTACAATGTCCATAATGTGTTCTGTTTTTTATTTTTAAGTCTCACTTTATTATCTAGGAATCAAGGCAGATCTATCAAAAAGATAGAAAATAATGGAAATTGAAAATCCAGGTAGATAATACCAACTAGAAAACTAGTGCTTTCCGGCAAAGGGCGGACCTATTTGTATCGATGATGGGTCACTGGATCCAGTAAATTTTGACCTAAATTTTGTACTTTTTAGAAATTATTTGGTATAAAGAAAAATTTAAAGTTGAATTGTTACTTAATATAGAAATGTATTATTTTTTTGGGACTAAGTAAAAAGTAAAGAGTGTCACATAAATTGGGACAGAAGGAGTATATGTATATGTGTATACTTTAAAATAATTAATTCAAATAACTTGGCACCTTAAACGCCAAAGTCATTAAGGGCACTGATTGAACATAATACTGATGGCCCCGTTACGTTAAAATCCTAGGTCGAGTATATATATGACCAGTAGTGTATATTAGAGAATCTGTATTGTTATCTTTCAAGTACGGTTATTGAAATATTATAGATTCAAATAGAGCATTTCAACAATTCATAAAGTTAATCTTAACTAACTTGGGATTGAGACATTGTTATTATTATTATTATTATCGTGAGTCAAACTTTTATTTACTGACATTGTGAAAAAAAAACTATACTATGAAATCAATAAAAATATAACTACAAATAATCATTCGTTATAAGTGAGATTAATAAGCTGAAGTATAAAGCAAGTAACTTGTTATAACATATTAAAGTGTATACGTAGTGTAAAAATTCAATACAATGCAAGTGTATACGAGTTTTTTTTTTTATTTTATTTTATTTTTTTGTTAAATCCCTTCCAAATTAGGAGGATCTATAGTGTTTTCACACTTATTCTCCAGCGTGACTCGAACCCGGGACCGAACTCTTCTTGTATTGAATAAGAGTTAAACTCTCTTTTGGAGGGGCTGTTGGCCACTTTGAAAGGGCATAATAATGAAAAAGAAAAAAGGGGATTAGAGAGTTTGATTACACCGTAATTTAGGGGTTGTTGACCAGTTAACATTGTTATTGCTTTTTCTTTTTCTTTTATGTTGTTCTCCTTTTTGCTTTTCTTAACATTCCCTTTGGGAATCCATTGGTGACAAGAGCCTTAAGTGGCTAATTTGAATAAGAATACCTAAACTGACAGTAACTCATAGGTCAGTTTAACTTCTATTTTATTAGTTAAGTTACATTAGTTCATTCCAATTTGATATGGTACCATAAAGTAATTCTTAATGAAATTTTATGATACTTAATTATAGTAATAACAATTGCAATTTTAAGAATCATATATTGTTATTCATTTTTATAGTTTTTTCCATTGTTGTGAAAAACTCATATATAATAGTTTTGGATAATGATAGGGCATAATTGTCTTTGGGTTTACTCTTTTCTTGTGTCTTTAATACGAAGGAAGTTATGTGCAATGGAAAGTAAAACAATAAGAAAGAGAGGTGT